ATGTACCTGTAGAAGGTTTTCTTATTGTTATTCTTCTTTGTATTTGCATATCCACTAATACTTCTGAAGTGTTTCTCAAGCACAGAAAAGCTAGTTTGAGTGCTCTGCACCCTTCAAATGATGCTGGGCAGTTTATAAGTGTTCTATCATACTGTCTATAGCGCTACCAGATCTTCCTCTGGTAAAGGCACTGACAAAGCAGGGCCAAAATTATTATCAAGTCCTATAATAGCAGCTTGCATTCCACTGAAGCAGAGCACTCCCCAAAACCTGCACAGGTAAAATTTGCTTTGTTCTTATCTGGTTAAGTTAATTAGGTTTAATTCACATTCGTAGCAGTATCAACCAACCCTACTGGCAACTTTTGAGAGCTTTAGCTACATAATCAGATTACAACTGGCACTCTTGCTTCTAAACAACGCTTATGCTGCATAAAATGGGGGAAGGAGTACACTGGTTTGCAGTATGCCCATAGCTGACACTGCTATCGTTGAGGCAACTATGGGAAACCATGCAAAAAAACCCCACAAACTCACTCTGAGCTGTTTCTGAACATTAAGAAGTTTATTACGAGCTTCAATATAAAACTACAACCATTACAAAAACAAAATCTGTACAAACATTGTTATTTAAAAAAAACCCAAACCCCTCAAAAAAAATTATCTTAAGGGCCTAAAGTTCACCTTTGCTAATCACTGAGAGATCAAGCAGGGTATAAGTCATAAAAATCACATTCACCATCTTTTCCATCAGACAGTTGTGATATACTCACAGATGCATGATGTAAAGATGGCTCCTCTCAAAAAGTTTAATGGAATCACCTTAGTTATAAAAATAGTCTTGTGTCTTCTATGTCATTAAAAGCAAGTCACTGGATTAAAAACAAAACCCTTTAATATTTTATCCTTAACATTAGACACAGGGAAATCATTGCATATTTAGGTAAGACACGGTACAACAATAGTTTCCTGGATTAAAGGTTTCCTTTCTTTGTGGAGCGAGCACAGTTTCGCTATGACTGGAAATCTCAACGACAACCAACAAATTTCTCATTGTATTTTGACAGAGATTTTTTCTTAAGAGAATAGTGTTTAGCATCTTTTTTCTGCTTGAAAATTGGAGAAGTCAAAAAATTTGTATCTGTAAATGGATCTCCTCTTCTGAGTTTCCTGTTAACAACAAAAAAAAGGCAAAATTAAGTTTTGTTCCCCGCATCACTTAAAACATTTACTTTCAGCTAGTAAGTTCAGTTTCATGTGAACTATTTCAGATTACTAAAATGAGACCTCTCTTTGAATGTTTTGCTAAGAACTTATTTACAATATTTAACTAATCCCCTCAAATACTCCATTTGATGGAATATCACGAGCTTTATATCAAACTGGAAACTAAGACACCTACCCTGCAATACTTGGTTCTTTATAGTTCACAGTAAGAGTACAGCTTCGCTTGCGTTTTGAAGATCGTGGTCCTTCACCTTCTGGGATGACAGGTGCATTCCCAGTGCTGGGGAGCAATGAAGCAGTATTGGTAACATCACAAAGATGGCCACGGGATGGCTCAGAAGGCTGACCTGGGAAAAGATTAGGCACACTTAAGACAATTCAGGCAAGCTAGCTTAAAAGAGAATGTCAGTGAACATACTAGATATGAAGCGACTCTCAGCTATAACTGTTATCTTCATCTTTATGCTTAAGTAAGTGTACATAAGAGGATCAACACATACTGAGAATTTTAATTTGGAAAAACAACACTAAGGAGTGCCAGGCAAAGTTTGATTTGTTATTCCACTTCTCTCTCAATTTATAATCTTGTTATCCTCTTTTTCCTCAGCTTTAATACATCTTTAAACACATCTACAATACAGTACTAATTCATTTCTTAACTTCTTTAACAAAACATAATGTTTCATTCCAATTTCTGCTGCAGAAAAAAAAAAAGAGGACAGAAGAATGAATCTAATGATTTTTATAACATTATTCTCTTCATATTTATTTAAAAAGCTAAAACAAAAAAGCCTAAAGCCCTTAAACAATGTTATCTCTCACTAAAACAAAACCAATTACAGAACACTTTTTGCACTTACTAACAGACTCGTCACTTGATTTATTGCTTTCAGTCTCTTTTTCATTATGGAAATTATTCATTAATGGTTTCTGCTCACGCTGTGCCAAACATCTTTTAGACCTTGGCCTGGCGTGGACTGCTGATGCATCTTTGTCCACTGAACTTCTCCTTTTTTTTGATTTATAAGGTTCATAGAGGCTATCATCAGAATCTTCTTCAATATCACTTGACTCAGTGGTATTAGTCTCAGATACGTCTTTGTCGTCCACACCAGTAACTCCATCATTCACCTTTTTTTGTCGAAAAGGTGTAACATGGACACGCTCTTCAAAATGAAAGTCATAAGCATCACTGGAGCCACCCAAGAAATCAAGCTTTTCTTTGGATGCTTCTTTTCGCTGTCCTTGTTTTGGTCTTTGTCTGGAAGTATTTTTAGGCCATTCCAGTTTTCCTTTCTGATGCTTCTCTTTCCTTATTCGAGAGTCTTCTCTGCTTTTACAGGCACGTTGTTTACGATCAGAATTATTGTCCAAGTTGAACTGTGCAGTTACAGAATCTATCTGCCTCAACAAGTTAGATTCAGAGCTGGTGTTTTCATTCAACTGAGAAATACCTGAATTTATGTTTTCTACAGTACACTTCTCTAGACTTTCCTCAAGTCTAACTTTATCCTTCTTGGAAAGCTCTCTTGTAGAATGAGGTCCTTCTGAATGCTCCAAGACACTAGTGCCAGGTTCATTGTGATTTCTCATCTTTGAATAGCAATGCCTGGTGGACACACTTTTTGGTAACACATTACCAAATCCATTCGCTCTGTTTGAAGAAACATTTTCCAGCTCTGACCCTGTGTTGTCCAGATGAAAATCAGATATTTGCCCTTGTAAATGGGGAGGGAAAAGTCACATTAAGGCTAAATAGTAACAATATAGAAAGGTTTTTTGCAAATCCTGAACTTAATTAAGACTATTTTTAGAATTTTTTCCACATACTTGTATAAACCAGCATTTGGCAATCAAGATAAGCTCTGTTTAATACAGCTTCCAGACAGAAAGCTGTTAAGTATACTAGATTAGGATTTTCCTCTAAACTGTTCTGTTTGGAAAGGTTATCTACAGGTCATTTCTTTTTCCAAGTATTTTGCTTTGTTAACAATTGTTGATTTCATAAATGATAATGCATGAAGATGACTTTACTCTGTTGAACTGTTTGGTAGATAATGAAACTAGATCACAGGTATATAGAAGACAAAGCATTTTCAAATTCCTCCCCCTTTTGCTAGGCATCTTAATTCAAAAAGTTTACCAGTTGTCAACATTAGTATCTACCCTTTATGATAATAAGTGGAAAATTATTTAAGTTAGTTCAAAAGCAGTAATTACATTTTAAACTTATACACACACATTTTTTTCCTGATTCAGAATAGACCAATGTCTGATGCTTTGATTTAGTTACCTTTGTCTGGAACTATTTTGATTAAGGAAACGGCATTGTCAGATTCCTCACAGATCTCTGACACAGAATGAGCCAGCTCATTTCTATCACTATCAGCCTCCATCCCACTTGGAAGTACTTGACCACCTCCATCAGCACACTGTAGAGGTTCTCTAGAGAAAATACCAAAGGTAGTATTTACTGAAGTGCAATATATTTTATTAAATGAACTGCTTAATTACATTGGATTTCTTCCCTTTTCCAGTCAGAAAATTAAGCTTACTGTAACAGAATTTTCACATATAAATAGGTATTAATAAAAGATACTTACACTGAATGTATTTGTCCTGTGACACTGGAACTATTTTCAAGAACTGAAGAAAGCCCTCTCTGATTCTGTCAACAAAATAAATCTTACTGTGACTAAATAGCTGAAACAAGCTTGCACCAAATACAAATTTTAGACAACAGCCAAGTTACCCACAGAAGGGCCAAAAGAGGCCCTTGACTCTTTTTCTTTCTGGATGGCTAACACAAAGTGCTATAGGATCTCACATACTCAGCTCATGCAAGTCAGCACATTCATAGCAAGCCCAATCATACAGACAGCAAACAGAGGACGGAACTGTGAGGATAGCACAGGGAACAAGACACAAACCCATAGAAAATCTGGGTGTCCCTACTGCCTTGTAGCAGAGCCTCAGTTCCACTAACAAACCATTACACCCCCCACAGTGATACCCCATGTCATACTGGGAATGGTGGGACTAATCTTACCTCCAAACTAAGGCTCAAATCGCAAAAACTGTGTGCATCTATGCTGCGAGTAAGGGGAAGAATCAACAGAAATCCTGCTCCCCAAGAGAAAAAGATACTTACTACACCTGTGGAACACAAATTCTTTGCTGGCCCAAGGAGATCAATTGAGTTCAGTAAATTCTGAGAAACTTTTGAAATTATCTCATTCAAAGCTGACAGTTGATTCTAATGGACAAAAGAAGAAAAATATACTGTTATACTCTAGCATGAACCACCAGTGTGATAACTTCTCACCAGTCTTGAGATAACCAAGTCCTAAAGATACCCGTGTCAGGTATCTTCAACTGTGACAAAAAAACCCCACAAACCCAAAATTAACAGAAGATAGATTTTAAAGAAGAAAGAGTAGCCAGAAAAAAATATTTCATTGATAACCATATTAGGTGAAAAACATGAGAAAACTTGTTCTATATATTGATTTTTTATGAAACATTTAAGATCATAAAGATGTCAGTGGATTGGTGCAGACTCTGATGTTCTACTTCACTAAATCATAAAGTTATTACTAAAAATACCTCAAGTCCTTGTGCTTGCTGGAACCTAAGACTTCTTTGCAAGTCAAACATCTGAAACTTCAGATCTTGATAATCTTTCCTTAAATTAAGAATGGTAGCCTCAGCATCCCTCAGTCTGAGCTTTTCTTCTTGCAAAGCCTGAGCTAGAGCTCTGTTGTTTGCTTGGATGCTCTTCATTTGCATGGAGCTGTTAGCTGCAACAGAACAGCGAGTATTTCAACTTAGCTTAAAAAAAAATAATTATGAAAACTATTAAGATATCTAAGCATCTTACTTGCTGTTTTGCACTTCGCAGTAGAGATCTGGCTAGTTTTACCCAACCTCATCCATCTGTGATTTCTTTTCTCTTTCATTCGTTCTTTTATATCATCCAGACTGTCTTTGAAGGGCTTTTTCAAGTGTTCAGTCATCTTCTACCTTCAGAAATATAAAAGGTAAAGAACTCATTAAGCTGGTGTTGCACAATGCTCTCCAAGGCCAAAAGAAAAGCAACAAAGAAACAATAGTAAGGCTCATGGTATTTTTAAGTTGCATATATGCACATGGAATTGTAATCATAGAATGGCCTGGGTTGAAAAGGACCTTATCTAGTTTCAACCCCCCTGGGGTGGGCAGGCCAACTACTAGAGCAGGCTGCCTGAGCCTCATCCAGCCTGGCATTGCATGCCTCCACGGACAGGGCATCCACAACATCTCTGGGCAACCTGTTCCACTGCTTCACCACCCTTTGAGTGAAAAATTTCCTCCTAATATCTAACCTAAATCTCCCCTCTCTTAGTTTAAAACCATTCCTCCTCATCCTGTCACTATCAACGCCTGTAAATAGTCGCTCCCCCTGCTGCTTATAGGCTCCCTTCAAGTACTGGAAGGCCACAGTGAAATCCCCCCAGAGCCTTCCCTTCTCCAGGCTAAACAAGCCCAGTTCCCTCAACCTTTCTTCGTAGGAGAGGTGCTCCAGCCCTCTGATCATCTTTGTGGCCCTCCTCTGGACCCGTTTCAAGAGCTCCACTTCTTTCTTGTGCTAGGGACCCCAGGCCTGGAAACAGTACTCCAGATGGGGTCTCACAAGAGCAGAGTAGAGGGGGAGAATCACCTCCCTCTCCCTGCTGGCCACCCCTTTTTTAATGCAGCCCAGGACATAGTTGGCCTTCCAGGCTGCAAGCACACACTGCTGGCTCATATCCAGCTTCTCATCCACCAGGACCCCCAAGTCCTTCTCCACAGGGCTATTCTCAAGGAGTTCTTCTTCCAGTCTATAC